AGGTGACAGGGAGGTGACACGCCACCCCACCTGAAGCGCTGCAGTTTGTCCCGTGCCAGCCGCGCCAGCCGCTCCGCCCTGTCCCGTGCCAGCCGCTGCTGTCGCTGTCCCTCCTCCAGCTCCGCCTCTCTGTCGCGCAGCCGCTGTTGTCGCCTGTCGCCGATTTGTCGCCGCAGCTCCTCCGCGTGGTGGCGCTGCGACAGCTCCCGCTGCTCCTGCGCCACCCGCTCCTGTGCCAAGTGCTGCTGGTGGGCCCTGGGGACACGGGGACAGTGTCACCATCGGGGACATGGCTGGGGACACGGGGACACGGGGACAGTGTCACCATCGGGGACACGGCTGGGGACACGAGGACATTGCCACTGTCACACACGGGGACATGGCTGGGGACACGGGGACACACGGGGACACGGCCGGTGGCACTGTCACACACGGGGACACGGCGACATCGCCACTGTCACACACGGGGACACGGCCGGTGACACGGGGACACAGGGACACGGCTGGTGGCACTGTCACAGCGGGGGTGACACGGGGACACCACCACTGTCACACACGGGGACACGGCTGGGGACACGGCTGGTGGCACTGTCACACACGGGGACACAGGGACACGGCCACTGTCATTGTCACTGTCACACACGGGGACATCGCCAGTGGCACTGGCACACACGGGGACACAGGGACACGGCTGGTGGCACTGTCACAGCAGGGGTGGCACGGGGACACGGCCACTGTCACACACGGGGACATCGCGGCACTGCCACAGCCCCGGGGTGGCACCGGTGTCCCCAGAACCAACTGTCACCGTGGCCTCCACAGTGTCACCCTGGTGTCACCCCAATGTCACAGTGTCCCAGTGTCACCTCAGTGTCACAGTGTCCCCGTGTCCCCTCACCCCAGCGCGGTGACAAAGTCCTTCCTGTCCGGTTCCAGATGTGCCGCCAGCTGTGTCCCAGTGTCACAATGTCACAGCGTCACAATGGCACAGTGTCCCAGTGTCCCAGTGTCACAGTGTCCCAGTGTCACAGTGTCACAATGTCACTGTCACAGTGTCACCCTCACCCCAGCGCGGTGACAAAGTCCCTCCTGTCCCGTTCCAGATGTGCCGCCAGCTGTGTCCCAGTGTCACCCCGTGTCACAATGTCACAGTATCACAGTGTCCCAATGTCACAGTGTCCCAGTGTCACCTCAGTGTCACAGTGTCCCCGTGTCCCCTCACCCCAGCGCGGTGACAAAGTCCCTCCGCTCCCGTTCCAGATGTGCCGCCAGCTGTGTCACAGTGTCACAATGTCACAGTGTCACCCCAGTGTCACAGTGTCACAGTGTCACAGTGTCACAATGGCACAGTGTCCCAGTGTCACAGTGTCACAGTGTCACAGTGTCCCCGTGTCCCCTCACCCCAGCGCGGTGACAAAGTCCCTCCGCTCCCGTTTCAGATGTGCCGCCAGCTGTGTCACAGTGTCACAATGTCACTGTCACAGTGTCACCCTCACCCCAGCGCGGTGACAAAGTCCCTCCGCTCCCGTTCCAGATGTGCCGCCAGCT